CTCCCCTTTTCGTTTGCCGTTTCTCATCCCTTTACAACCTGACGATTTCTGACAGTTGATTGGCCTCTGGCCACTATAATTATCCTCCTTTTGGTTTGCTTTCTCATCTCTGAAGATGGACATCTGTAAGAGTTCGAAAGCTCAGAACAATAAATCAATTGATCTGGTGCTCGACCTGCCTTCTTCCTCATCCATCCGAGTACCTGGATCGCTAACCTTCTCATTCATTACCCAATCAAGTTACTTGCTTTCGCAAAGAACCTATTTGTCTTCAAAAAGATATGGTAGTAGGGGCCCATTGAGCTGATTAAGGAAGAATGTTCCTTTGTGCCCTGGAGCTCACTACAGAGCACACACGACAGTTGCATATCTCCTTTTATAATACATTGGAATGAAAACGCCAAAAACTAGGGAAGCTTCAATATATATGCTGAAAGGCATTACGGACAACGACAAAGGGGATTGGAAAAGCCATTTCTGGCCTATTGGAAGACATCAGCCAGCCATACCCAACCCCAAGTGCTGCCGCACCCGAGGTACGAACCCGCAACTTTGTTTGCTAGATTCCCGTATATATGAACATATATCCTCATGGAATGCATTCGACTCCAACTTATATTCTTAGGGATGCCTACCTTTCACCCTATATGCACATATATATGTCTTAACATTACTTCTATTATTTGCATTGATAGTTGCGTTTTCTTAGGAACGAATACTCGGAACTCGTACAGCACTACGAAACGCTGCATTGCGACTCACTATTGTACTAGCCACATATACAGTTATTGCCTTACTTCGATATTTTTTACGTTATGGTACAGACTGGCCTTCATTCCTAGACCTCCAAAGACAAATCCCTTAATATCCCCTGACCTAAACCGGCGAGACAACGAGCTCGCGGCTCAATAGTCAGAGCGGTTGACTCTGATTTAAAAAGGTCGCGAGTTCGATGATCGAGTGGGGCACTACTATGACTTGCTGATGGCGGTTAATAAGCCAGAAATGGCCATTCCAGTTTCTCTTCTCGTTGCTAGTAATAATATAATAAATTACTATTTGACAACTCATTATTATGGTTTTTGCTTAAGGACATTTAAAAATGTTTTCAATACTTTCCATTGGAGAGTTGCTATTTTTAAAATTCGCACCTGGTCAATCGCGTATTGTCATATACCTAAAGGATTAAAACCATGAGAAGAATTTTTCGTTCGCCTGTATGAGGGCAAGACAAATAATTTGCTTACTGCCGTATTCATGCATTTGTCTATTAATTAGGTTAAGCCTGTCTGCCGAACATGAGGGTATGAATTTAAATAAATCGGAAAAATTTGCTAGTATTTTCTGTCAGATGGTTCCTGTCAACAAAACTAATGATTGAAAGTTTGTTTGCATTTGACACGAATAGCGTGATATTTTCTGGGAGAAATCCATTAAGTCTGATTACTAGGGGAGTTTGGCAGATTTGAATAATTCTATTGACCGAAATGTGAAAAATGCATGGCCTCGGTGACATTCGAGCTTTTTACAATAAAGTCAACTGAATTACTCAAATATGTCAGACCCCGCAACACTTGAGTGAACCTTGTGATCATTCTGCTGGATTCCAGATTATTGCTTAGGAAATCATGCCTGGGAAATCAGCTTACTGTATCCGTAATGATGGATTCCATACGAGCAGATGGCTGGCCCAAGTTTAATTAAATGCAAGGCTTCGGCGTGCTTTCGTAGCTCAATTGGTAGAGTGTCGGCTGTACAAAGGCCTTCTCTGCTATGAGTGTTCGAACCCCGCAGAGAACAGGAAGTTTTCATAATTGTGAAAAGTCTTCAGTATGTCCACGCTGAACAAATCTAAACTTGTAGAATTTTAACGGTGTGTTGTATCAAAGTTCCTGTGTGAGAACTTAAACCACGTGTTTAATAGATAAAAATGACAGGAAGAAAGTAAAATATCAAAAGCAGTCAGCTGATGTCAACTTGATATAGGGTCAGGCTGCCACATGACTTTTCTGTGATGAA